CTTTTTTCTTTTATGCTGTTTCTCTAATAAAAACAAGCTAGAGCATTTTCGTTCTTAACTAAACCTCACTCATACAATATATAAGGGACTCTGTTCAAGTTTTTTTACTTCTACCACTACCATTTTCTCCTGAAGCTGTTACCTCTCTATATGCTGATACCTAAACCACTAAATCACAATCAATCTTCTCTAACAAACGTTGTCCGGTGGGACTTTTTTTTCTGATCTGTCTAAGACTATGCCACCTTTTCCTTTCGTGTTAAAGTCACACCACACATTCATCTGATCATCTTCTCTTTCGGCAAATACTACACTATATAAATGCTAAAGTTTATATAATTATGAAAAGATATTGTTTACCAGCATCTAAATAAATAGCAAATTTATATATTTATACCCATATTATGTATGCATAAAGCGCATCTTGGGAGCTTTTATTCCTTCTGCGCTAAAAGTTTGAAAGCTTTTATTCCTACCCTTCAATTTTAAATCAAGCCTCATTCTCCAAATTTTTCTTTTTTCAATCTTGAGCAGTTGCTTTAATAAACATGAATCATTTTTTTCATCTTTTTTACGAGAACATATCTTTTAATAACAAATGTCCCTTTATCATTCCAAGAAGCCAATGTATAAAGGTCCTGTATGTTGTTAAACCCTGTTGTTCTTAGTTTACAAAATCTTGTTTCTCAAATGTTAGGTTCTAGAGACTTTTGATAAGATTTCAACAATGTCATTAACTAAAGTAAGTCTAACATTTAATTTCTAATTTAGTTTGATCTTTTTACTCTTCCCCGAACAAAGAGTTTTTTGCAAATCTTACTCTAATTTCTTGAATCTAATGACCACACTCATCCTGCAAGTTAAACAGATTAACTTATTGTTAAACATCAAAATCACTGGGGCATCCAATGCTAAAGTTAATTCTCAACTAAGCACTTTTACAATTTGTGCTCCAGATAAGATTTCCATCATAGTCTTAAAAAAGTGTTCTCCAGAATTCTTATTAATTTTTGATAAACTTTTAAAAGAGGCTAAATAATTGGTTCCAATTTTTCAAAACTCTAGAAAACACTTTGACCTCTCTAATTTTCAAACAATTAGTCTCTGTTAATAGTTTCTTTATATGAAGTTTTTGAGATTATTAAACTATTTATTTTAAACTGCAGTATTAAAGTTGTTCTTGAAGGCCTACACTACTCTTTATCTCAAATAAGTTTTAGGGTACTACAAAGTTTGCGGTACTTGAAATCTTTGCTCCTGTAATGTTTTTTTATCTACAATAATTATGTTCATGAAAATTTTACATGTAAAGTGCCTCTATTTGCTGAAGAATCAACTTTATAGTTATGTCTTGAAAAAGATCATCACTTATTGATTGCTTAGAACAAATAGCCGGTTTTTAATCTGATCTCTCTTCTGTAACAGCCTAAGGCTTGCAGTGGCTTCTGTAACAGCCTAAGGCTTGCAGTGGCTTGCGGATTTAAATTCTGGACTTAAAATCCTTAATTTTTATAGGCAACAAAACTCATTTATTTACTGCAAAAAATATAGTAATATTGTTGGCGTTCCTATATTTACGAATGAAATAAACACTCTTACTCTCAGAAAAAGTCTAAATGAACATTATAAATGTCGTTTCACCTGCTTTATCTGCCAAGCTTTAGCCACTCTCCCACTGTTGTAAGGTTGCATTTTTTCTTTTTTCTACAAATAATATAATGGTCAATGCTCAAACGAGCTATTATCTCTACTAATATAAATTAAAACTCATTCTTACTTGGTTTCTTATTGAACAAGTTGCATTCTTTTATAGTATCTGTTTCTTAATGTATAAAAACTTTTATTAATCCAGTTTTTTTCCTTGCACATCAAAAAAGCCTTATAACTCTTACCCATCTTCATGTTTTTCTTTTTAATAAGTCCTACAACTTTTAAAGTCTTCAATTAACCATTTTCTAGTATTTTAACCTTTCCTCTATTTTAAAGTGACTCATAACTTAATAGTGCTTTCTTGCTATCTTGTTGGAAGTAAGTTAGAGTTTTAAAATATATAAATATATGCCAGTATATAATAAAAAGTACATGTACGAGTAAAATAATAATACAAAAAGTATTATAAACTTTTTTCTAGACCCGGCTAATCAACTCCTGCTAAGTCTTATAATTTTGCCGGGGTCGGGTTTGCAGAAAAAGTCATTTTTAGCAGGGGTCCCGGTCACTTACTACCTTAAAGGTACAATTTTCTACTTTAAGAGTAACTTTATTAAGTCATAATTTTTTAAGGAAGAAAATTGTAGCTTTATAAAGGTATATCAAATATCAATTTTATTTTTTATTTTGTACACTTAATTTACATCTATATAACTATTGAGTTGTTTCTAGTTTACTTACATTAAAAAATGTCTAAACTCCATTATTTCTAAACTCTATTATATTCATTAATCTGTATTTACATTTCCGATCGCACTTTGCTTGTTTTAAAAAAAATTCTCAATTCGCTTTTAAAATTTTACTTTAAATGTTGCATTTTGTAAAGTTTTTTTGTAAAAATACTATTGATGAGAGATTTGAAAGATTTAGGTTACAATTCTCCATAATGCAATTTTTTTTTTATCTTGATAATTCGATAGTTAATGATTCAAAATCCGCGTTTTGGATGATAAGAACTTTTGTTTTGAAAAATAGATTAGGCCATGATTACAGAAACATATAACCCACCTATACCACCACCTCGAGTTTTGTGCATTGCTTGATAACCTGTAATTTGAAAACTTTCATTTTTGTACCATGTATCAAGCACATTACTAATAGAAATATTACTTTTAATTAAGAAGTTGTGTTTTTTAGCATTGATTTAAAACTTTCAGTTTTTACTTTAAATTACTACATATATTTAAAGTTTACAATGTTTGTGGCGCATTCTGTGAGATATTTTTCGATATCAAAAGACAAAGTTGATTATGACATCCTCAAAAAAGTCTGGATCATTACAATTATTATCATTATAATTACAATTATTATCATTATAATTACAATTATTATCATTATAATTAAAATTATTATCATTATAATTACAAATCATTATAATTACAAGAAGTGTGTTTTTTAGTTTCTTCATAGGTGAATTTGGAAAGATTTAACTAACGTCGATTTTTAATATTCTGTTTAATAACCCTAATTTCCAACCGGAAAATAGAATATAAACAGTTGTCATTATATTTGTTTGACTCTTCCCAACTTTTTATTTTAATGACATTTATTCAACCTGCTAGTAACCTTAATTTTTTTAGGTCCACACTGAATCCAAAATCAACAAATTCAAAGCTATTAAATAAATTTTTTTTTTTATTTGAAGCACGAGTCATGTAGTTCGAGTTGAACTTCCAATTTCCAACAATTCATTATGCCAGGATCCTTCAACCTCAAAATTGATTCCAGAAGAAACAACCCCCTTCTCACAAGTACCAGCAAGAAAAAAACAAAACAAAAAAAATATTAATTTTAATAGATATTTCTGTAAAAGAAGGACTTCGCTAAACAGAAAGATATGTTTACAAAAAAAAAAAAAAAAAAAAGCCTAAGCAGAATTGCAGAAAACAATAGCAGTCAAGAAAGCTTGCAAAAAGATACTTTGCGCAAGTACATCTAATGAGGCAGGTGATGCAACTTTTTTGAGTTGTAATTGATAGTAAAGTGGATGGCACCAGTGCACTTGTGAAACCACTACAGTGGTTTCACAAATAAGACCTTGTTACAAAATCAAATCAAATTCCAGTAATTACGTTTTAGTCAAACTTACTACTAAAAATTTTTTCGATATTTATGTTAAAATTATCAACACAGTGAAGACATGGCTGAGAATTTTTTTTAGATATCGTTTTTTTAACAAAAAAAACCTTTGTTTTCATTTATTCTTTAACAATTGATCATGTTTTTTAAGTGTCACTTCAAGATATTCTTAGAAAATTATCCAGACCACTACGTGACTGGAATGCCAGTTTCTTGTCATTTATCTTTCCTGTGGACTAAACAGTTTATGACCCACTCTGTTATTATTATTTTTTCAATTATTGTTGTTTCAGATGGTTGAATAAGTTTTGTTTTTAATAAGATTTATTTTTTGCTTTTTTTTCAATTTTTAAAGTTTCTATTATTTTGAATTTATATTAACATATTTACCAAAAGTTAATAATATAGTGCACAGTGTCCTTACTCCTTCAGCCTCAAATTTATTTGGTTACGCCCCTATTTCCACCATTAATTCACAGCTATGTTCATTGATTCACTGTGCCATAGGTGGTGATTCACTGTACCCAAGTACTGGGGTATTGTGAATCACATAACACAACTCACTTTAAACCTTTCTGGGCCGTTAGATAATATGGGCTTTAGTATTTTCTTATTATGAAGGACATATATCTCAATCTTTTTGCCTTGAAAAAGTTAAAATACATATTTTAACTTTAGCTCAATTTAAAAAAGTAAAGAAATCCGATCCACAGTGCCCAGACATTTTCTTTTGAAAAAAAAAAGGTCTTTTTTTTCAAAAGGAATATGAAAATAAAAACGTTTTGAAGAGGACAATAATACTTAACCTATTAATACCTATTTAGTTTCAGGTAAAGATAGTGCATGTGGAATAATAACTTTTTTGTTATAGCCATTGAAACTTGTGTCACGGAAGGAACCTCTCGTTCCTTCCGCGACAAAAATTTCCGCGACTAAAAATTTAGAATTCTACTTAAATAGATTTTTATAGGTAGTTTGTTAGGTATTTTTGCGCCTTCTAAACGTATTTATTTTTTTTTAAAACTCTAATTTAGTTTTTAAAGGTCCTTTTGAAAAGCACAACTTTTAATCATGCCCTATAGCTAACAATTTGTTATTGCAGTTTTAAAACAAACAAAAAAAAAGAACAAGTGCACTAATAGATACAACGCGCGCACCAATAAATTTCATATTTATGCTTAATACCGTGTAAAAATAATAAAAAAACATTATTATAAGATATGGATTCATGTACTGCAAGCAGTAAATTTTATAAATACTATAAATATCCTTCTCTTACAAAACCTTTCACAAATACAATACACAATAGTAGAGAAAAATAATGGAACAGATTGCAACAATACAAGAAAACACACTCACACAGACAAGTTACAACATTAACACAAATGGTCATAAATAAGATATAGAGTTTTCGAAAATGAAAATAATAATTTTAAATGTTAATTAAAGTTTTCTATAAATATTCAAACGTAAAATAATTCTATGTACTGCTAATTATGCTCAAAAAAAGGTTTTTATCGGAGCGCTTTCTAAAAGATTTCCAATAAACTCCTTGAAAGCATAAAAAGACGGTCGCTCATCCTCTAGTATGTTCCAACACTTAACACTGAGATTCCATAATTCAACAGGGAAACAATCAGGTTTTGAAAGACGCGCTCCTGACCTCAAATAAGCAGGTAACTGAAAAAGAAAAAAATGGAAATATTATTTAGCATTAACTACGCAATACAAACAAACGCACACATACACGCACACATACTTACACACACATTTAACATTATCTGTTTTATACTAATGGAAAACTAGAGAGATAAAGTGTGCACCTTTCAGATAACTTATATTGTGATACCAAAACGAGCTCAAAAAAGGTTGAAAAAACTGAAAAATGTTTTAAATAAAACTCCTAATATTTCCTTGAAAACCCTCTCATTTACCCGTGAGCAAGTTAATTAGTCAACCAACTTACAGACAGCTAATTTAATATGGTTACAAGATGGATAAAAAAAACAAAAATTGACTCAATTGTGACAAACGTCAATACTGACTTGTAAAACCTTTATTATGAAGTCCAAACATTCTTCTGATGATATATGATCAAAAAAATAAAATATTTAAAACATTTCAAAACTTGTTATTCGCTAATCGACTCAAGGTAAAAACAATAAATCCAGTATAAGTTGGCTGGAAAAGAAAATGAAAATATTGTTTGATTTGACTGTCAAATTTTGCTTGTTAGTGTAATTTTCTTATTATTGATGATTGTAAATAGATGTAAACACATTTTTAAATAACTTTTCACAACGTTTTTTAAAAGCAAAGCGGGAGAGTATGAGATTTTATACGGATATTTAGCAGTCCACTCTACCCTAATGTTTACACAAGCCTACATGAAAAATATTTTGTACATTATTTTTATTTGATAAGAAATTATTAAACATTTAGCTGGATGTCAAAAAAGTGACAGAAAAGTAGAAAGGTAATACATGCAATTTTTTTTTTCACAGTTAATAAGAAAATAGCAAATAATACTTATTTATTAATTTTAATTTTGGTTCTCCTTTTAATTTTTTAGCTTCAGAAAAATGGAAAGAATTTTTCTAGTTTTTCGATGAAATATCAAGAAATTCTCTAGTTTCAATGAAATGTGAAGAATTTCTCTATTTTCGATGAAATGCGAAGAATTTCTCTAGTTTCGATAAAATGTGAAAAATTTCAGGAACAAATAGTAAAAGAAATTATTGATTTAAACTAATTTAAATTTAGCAAAGGTTAAATAAGATTCAAAGTATGTGATGTTGCTGCAGTAGCATTAGCAATTTTAATTGACTATGTATAAGTAAGAATAATAAGTCTTAGATAATTACTAAATATTAGAAATTTTGTGAAAAAGCAAATGTAATTGGTTCAATTGACATAAAGAATTGTCAAGAAAGTTTACAACTAAAAGTTCTTCAAAAGTATATCAACATGATATTCAAAATAAACAAAGTAATATAAAAGCTTTTTATGATATGAATCCCAACGTTGCCTGTGATCTGAGTATAGACCACCTTAAACTTTATTAGTGTTGGAAAAGTTTTAACTCTATTAAGTGTGAAAACAAGTCTGCACATTAGCTAACTCTTGCTTTAAGAATTATGCAAGAATTGAGATTACTGTACTACAATGTACAATTTTACTGTTTTATATTGTTTGCTGTAAAGGTTTTACAGGTTTCTCTATAAAACAAGGAAACAAATGCTTATTGTAAAAAAATGTTAAAAGATTGTATTAATAAACCTTCAGGGTAAATGCTACTGCTACTCAGATTTTATTTTTTTAAATGAGTTACAACAAGTAACAAGCTTACTCTCAGTGGTGAACAAATGAGTTACAACAAGCTATTTAAACAGATAATAAACTTACTCTCAGTGGTGAACAATTTAATTAGTAGAAAGAGCTAAAAAACTCATCTTCGAAGCCTCTAAAAAGGTTTATGGAAAGAGCTATGATTTCCTTCTGGCTAAAAACCAGAGCATAGCTGAAAACAAAAGAGATGAGACAAATCAGGATGCTTCTTCAGAGTAACTTTATTCAACTTTATGTTTCAAATATAAATTGAAGTTAACAAATGGTTCTGCAAGACTTTGATGACGGAGAAATAAAGTAAATAATTAAAGATGAGTTAAAAGTAGATAAATAAAGATAAAGTTCAGAGTACTCTTTTAAATAAGAATATACTATAACAATTCAAAAACATTCAGCTTGATGTTTCTTTCATTGTAAGGACTATGAAAATACTTTTGGATCATATTGTAGAAATTAATGTTATAAATATCTAAGAAAGAACTCATTTGGAAATATTTTTAGCCAAAAATTGTTTAAGTTACTGTGTTAAATATCTTTTTATTTTTTTACCCATATGTATGGTAAAAGCCCCAATTACATTTAAACGTCATCAATTTCAAAAACATTTTTGTAAACAACTAAAAATTGAAAATCAGTTTGTATATTTGGATTTTATAAAATCTTTAACTATTTTAAGTATTTGGGAAAATACATGAATAGTTTAAAAGTTTGAAACAATATATGATATCTAAATATCATTTAGGAATCAAACCTTTTAGGAATAACTATATTTTTGAAATGATATCTCACATAAACATCAAAGTGAGCTATATTGTGCTCCAAAAAAAAATCTTGACAGTGGTTTAATATATATATATATATATATATATATATATATATATATATATATATATATATATATATATATATAAAATTAGTAGAAAATCACTTAGCAAAATTTTTTCTCATTTAACACTGTGTTTCTATATATATATATATATATATATATATATATATATATATATATATATATATATATATATATATATATATATATATATATATATATATATATATATATATATATATATTTGTATAGTTTAGCACTTACGTGGACAGATTTTACGAAAAAACGAACACTTACGGGGACATTTTAGTGTACCCGTTAACTTTTTGTTCCCGTAAGCATGATTTTTTTTGTAAAAAAATGTAACCGTAAGAAACTTTTATAGAGAACGAACATAAAATGTACATACATCAACTGATAAACAGCCTGTTTCGCAAGGGAGTGCTGTTACATGGACTGAGGATTTGGTTTGACGAGGCATCAAGGTTAGGCTTAGGGTTACAGCAAGGTTTGATTATATTATTGTAATTAATTGTTTTTGTAAAGAAATGAAGTTAAAAATGAAATGTAATATAAAATAAATAAATAAAAATAACAAAAATTAATATAAAAAATATATTTTTATAATAAAACAATAAATTTAAATATGTATCAATAAAAATAGAAATAAAATAAAAATTAAAAAAAAATATAAATATGATTAAAATAGCATAAAAAAAGTAAAAAAAAAACAACAGAACGAGAACAAAAATAACAAATCCCCGAAAGTCGCCAACTAGAATGCTATATATATATATATATGTATATATATATATATATATATATATATATATATATATATATATATATATATATATATATATATATATATATATATATATATATGTATATATATATATATATATATATATATATATATATATATATATATATATATTATATATATATATATATATATATATATATATATATATATATATATATATATATATATATATATATATATATATATATATGTATAAAAAATATTAACTTACATCAATGAAAGGGATGTCTTTATATGGAATAACTGGTAAGTCTTTGATTTCTGTTTGAAACAAGGTAAACATTTCCCATAAAACCACTCCGTAACTCCAAATATCAGTCTTTTGAGTATATAAGCATTTTTCCATGCTTTCAAGTGCTAACCTTTAAATTTACCAAAAACATTTTAAATTAATACCAAAATTTATAATCAAAAATATTTATAAACAATAAATTAATGATATCTTAATTTTCGTCTTTACTGTAAAACAACAACAACAACAATTACAAGAAAAGTGATTTTAACATACTATATATATTTAAAAAAAAGCAGTGTTGACAATAAAAAAAGTTTTATTTTCAATTTTATTTATCATGATTGCTTAGCACAAATAATGAAAAAAAGTAGTATGAAAAATGGTATAAAAATTTCACTGGATTCACATTATTGATACATAGTGATGGCCAAAAGCAATTTATTTAAATTCACTAATGAAATTGTGTCTTAGGGATCGTCCATAAATTACGCAACGCAAAAAATATTTTAAGAACAGGAGTAGGAGATATTAGGCTCTTTTACGCGGCGATTTTCATTTAACTTATATTTCTATTGTTTTTTTAAATTAAGACTCTGCGAGGCAAAACTTTTGATGTTTTTTTGTTTTGTTTTTTGTGAAATTTTGCGTTACGTAATTTATGGACGATCCCTTATATTATTAAAAGAGCTCTATTATTTCTGAAATGTTGCAAACATTTCTGTAACCTTTTTTTAAAAGCTTATGCATTAACTTTAACAATATCATCAAATTAATTCAAACTATTCCAAACTCTGAAAATTTTATCAAATTTCTACTATTTTTATCAAACTACTTCAAATTAATTCAAACTCTACCAAAACATTTATTTCATTAAAAACTCTACCAAAACATTTATTTCATTAAAAACTCTACCAAAACATTTATTTCATTAAAAACTCTACTAAAACATTTATTTCATTAAAAACTCTACCAAATTCATCAAAAAAATATGAAAAGCTTTGCAATGAACATCATAGAAGAACATTAGTTATTATATCATAGAAGAACATGTTATTTGACATAATACTTGATAAATAAACTTGACTTGAAATATGAAAAAGAGATTAAAACAATAGTTGATCAATGCAAAAGAACATTTTAAAATATATAAATCATTGTGCAGCATTAAATATAGATGTCATAGAAATCTACATTTAAAGCCCTCTCCCACCCCCCACCCCCACAAAATTAAGTAAGGCAAAACATGCAAAAAATAATCCATTCATAATCACTTTATGCTAGAAAACAAAAATAAAATATTCATCACCTATAATATAAAACTCTAAAATTCCTGCAGAGTTTCTGGAATTTCAGCATATAATGATTATGAGTAAAATTTTATCAAAATTTGAAATATCAATTATAAACAACTATACAAAGTTAAAAAATCTTCAAAAAATTATTGAGGACAAAATTAAACGTCATTTAATACCAGAACTTTGTTTTGTATACTACTGTAAACACCTTTTATAAAGTGTGTTTATTTTATATACTATAGTAATCATCTTTTATAAAGTGTGTTTATTTTATATACTCCAGTAATCATCTTTTATAAAATGTGTTTATTTTATATACTCCTGAGAACACATTTCATAAACGGTGTTAGTGATAACTAATTTACCTTTTAAATCATATTTACAAGATAAGTTAGCCTAATCATAACTACATGACTGTGATAAGAAACTTTACTTTGAAAAATTAAGTTAATGTGTCTGATGACAATAAAGAAGTTATTGCGGAAAGCTAGAAACCATCAGTGGAAAACTAGAAGTCACTGATGAAAAGTTAGAAAAAAGACTCTAAAATATCTCATTTTATTGAACTCACAAAAAAACATTTTTGTCAACATGTCTGTAAAATGCTGCAACTGTCAGTTTAATTTTATACAAAAATTATAACAGAAAACAACTAAATTATAAATTAATGTTAAGCAGAAAAGCAATTATTAATAAAATAAAGAAAAACTTAAAAGCATAAAAATTTAAACCATTACTTACCACTGAACAGGTAACTTTTGGAACTTTTCATTGTCATAATAACCTTTATCAAATAAAAAACGACTCAAACCAAAATCAGATAATTTTACCAGCTCTTTATCAGCAACTAAAACATTTCTACAGGCTAAATCACGATGGAGAATATTTTGTGTATGCTAAAAAAAACATATATTTGAATAAATATTTTTTAAATTTTATTTATTTGTATAATATACTTACATATTATATAATTATAATATTTATTTTATAGTAATTTATATTTTATAGATTTTATACTTTATGATAACTCTAAAAAATGCCTTATGTAAAATGCCTAATGTAAAAAACTACATTTTGGCTTGATTGCTAGTTTGGGCAAGTTAAGACTAGATTAGAGGTTCATTACTATAAAGAAGTGTTTTTATTCTCTTCTTTTTAATTTTTTTTACACCATGTATTGAATTAACAAAAATCATAAACTTACTAAGTAGTCAACACCATGCGCAATTTGCTTACAATAAACCAATAAATAACCTGAATTTAACTCTTTCTAAAAAGATATGTTTGCAAGGAATCAAAGAATGCTAAAAGCAAAAGATAAACCTGACATATACCCTGAATGTCTCTAGTGCATAAAAAATTACCTTTCTTAATGGAATAAACTGGTCTAAAGAACCCATTGATAAATACTCAGTGACAATTGAAAAATCAGTGTCTGAGCCTTCTAAAATAAAATATTGTTTAAAATGAGCTAGTAACCATTTAGAAAATACCATAAAAATAAAATGAATAATAGATCAAACCTGCACACACTCCATGCAACTTAACAATGTATTGGGAATCTGAAATTTCTCTTTTGGAAAGAGCGGCCATTGTTTTTGCTTCTCTACGAAAATCTTGTATGTCTTTAGAAATATTAGAGGTTGTGTCTTTTTGTAGTAATTTTTTAATTGCAACTGGAACCTGATACATAGAAACAATAAAATTATTAAAACTATTAATTTTTAACAACCAATAGAAAAGTGTTAATCAATCAATATGATAATAAATTTGAATTTAGAATAAACTTAAAAAAAATACTTATTGATCAAAATGATCATTGAAAAAAACCTTTAAAAATAAGTCAAAACAAAAAATATTTTTACATTAAGTTTGATTTTATTTTTATCTGTAAACAACCACAAGCCTTTAAAAACTTCTCCAAACTGACCCTAGAGTAAAATTTAAATAGAAAATTGTATAGAATTATTAATAACTATGTTATTTTTGTTGTGTTTTTATTAGTTATTATGCTATTATGTCATTATGATCAACAAAATAAAAATAGAAAGTATATAAAGTATAATCAATCAATATTTTTTTTTTCGATAAAAAAAAACTTACAATTGAGGTCATTTACAAATAGTTAAAAACTAATCTTAGGTTAATATCATGAAATAAATAATACAAACAATAATGATAATAATGATGATAAATTAACAATTATAAGAATAATAAGAAAATTATACAATAATAAACCAATATCAATTTTAAAACAAAAATTGAATATTATGCACAGGCAGGAAAGTTACAAACAATTATATACTGACAAAACATAACAACCTACCATGTAACTAAAACAATTACTGTAAAAAAAGTAACAATGATTTAATAAATATAGTAATCTTAATATCGATAATCATAATAAAAAAAATATAAGCAATATAAATATTTCATTAAAAAATAAAAATAAAAAACAAACAAACAAATTTTCAATAGCACTCACAAATAAAAATGTGTCACACACACAAACATTTAGTCACAAAAAGTATTGAATGTTCATAATAAATAAAAGCATTCAAATTAAAAAGGAAATCATAACATAATAGCCAGCAAATTTTTCTTTTTTCATTTCTTTAAAAGTGAACCAATTTTTATATTTTATTTATTCTTATTATTTATTATTATTTTATATTTTATTTATTCTTTTTAACTACTTTCTTTTTAACTAACTTCCTTTTTCATATGTTTTTTTCTTTCAACTTTAAATTTTTGCCTTTCTTTTTTCTCTTCTCATTTTTTTTTTTTTTTCCTTTTGTTAATTTGATTAATTTAGTTTTTATTTTGTTACATTATTTTCTTTTTTATTTCTTTCTTTTTCTTATCTTCACTCTCTTTATTTTTGTTTTACTTTTTTTTCTTCTTTTCTTCATTTTTTTTTTTAAACTTATTTATAAAACTCATTATGAAAAAGCATCAGCCATTCCGGAAGTTTCTGCACTGTCCTGAATTATTAAAAATAATATAAAGCTATAAAAAAAAAATTAATATTTATAATTTTATTTATAATTAATATAAAGTTATGAAAAACAAAAAAAAAAAACTGATGTAAAAAAAAAAAATGTTATAAGAATGTTTTAAAGAAGTTTAAATTTAAAGTTAAAACTTTACATATAACGAACCGAAAAATTCAAAAAACAAATCAATCTAAACTAAAAGTATAATGAACAAACAACCTAAATTAAACAATAAATAAATTAAGAACAAACAACCTAAACTAAAAGTATTATGAACAAACAACGTAAATTAAAGATAACAAGAAAAAAAGTTTTTTAAACAAACTAATATAGTAATAAACAAACAACATAAATTAAAAGCTAATAAGCTTACTTATACTAAACCAAAGACCTTCATAACTAGATAAATTGAATTAAATAAATTAACTACATTTTTAACTTACCTGACCTAAACTCTCCTCAATTTTTAAATCTTTACGCTCAATAAATCGAAACATGGATGGCAAATGCTCTTCAGAAAAAGTAAACATTGAATTTTTGTTTTGAGACTCTTCGATCCCTGAAGGAGAAGAAAATTGACCTGATGAAGACCTAGAGAGCATTGTTGAATCTATAGAAGGTTTTAGAGGCATTGCTAGGTCAGATTTTTGAAAAGTAGCTTGAGAAATAATTGGAGATCCAGTAATAAACTGAGGGTTTAGAACTTGAAAAGACTGAATAGATGTTACTGGAGAACCATTAAAGTGAGCTCTAGGAAAAAGCTGAATAGGTTCTTGAGTAGAATTATGAGAAATGTATATAGTTCTAGAAGCAGGTGCTATTGTACAATGAAGAGAAGATTGGGTTGCTGATGTGGAAAATCTTGTATTTACACCAAGCAGACGAGGCTGTATATTTTGTTGTTTCAACATTGGAAATGTTTGTCCGTTTTCAGATAAACTATTAGTTACAGGATTTTGATGCGAAACTGCAACAGAATAAATATCTGTTTTTGAAGCATAATCTTTATTTTTCTTTGACTGTCTTTTACCCTCAGAATGACCCCCATAACTTCGGTTAGCCGAACTTGAAGCAATCGGCTTACCACCTTGAAAACTAGACTGAATTGTTGAAGTAGTACCAACAGAAGCTATACCAGGATTATTTGTGAAAACATTAATAGTAGAGATGACAGCTGCGTGCGAGGTACTTAAATGCGATATAAAAGGGTTAGGGCTACTTGCTTGCAAATCTTTAAAATCTTTAACAACAGATTGAATTTCACTTTGTGTTTTATTTGAAGCATTGTTTGAATTATTAAATATATTTTTTCTTATCAATTCTAAATCTTGTAATGACCTGTATGGATTTGAAAAATCGTTGTCATCCTGTGTGACAGAATTCTCTTCAAACTCATTTTTAAAAAATCTAGAAAGTTCACAAGAGAATGGCGGAGGATTCAGAGGAACGTCTTTTTTCCCAAAAAATCGATGAGGTAAACTTATGCCTATATTAAATGGATTTGGACCTTGAAGTGCCATTTTAGCAATTTTTTTAGTATTTTCGGTATATTCATTAGATTCTTCCTGAAACGAAATACTGCGTTTTCCATAAAAGCGTTCTCTCTCAAAATTAATGCGTTCCTGTAAATATTGCCGTGTTTTTGGATTACGGAACCACTCGCGCTTTGGCTGATCAGAAGTATCACGACGAACTTGCTCTGGAGAATCTGGTGGAGTTGGTGGAGGAGATATTTTAGCAAAATCAGCCTTTGCAACAGATGCTAAACTATCTAACTTTGGAGCATAATCCTCGCGAGTGCTTACAGCACTGTTAAAAGTTTGAATATATGGTTTTATTTGTTGAATATGTGAATTACCTTTTATATCAACATAAGGAGAAGAACTGTTTGCTTGAGACAAATCAAGTAAAATAGAAGCAATATCAGATTCACTTTGATTATTCTTATTTTTATCAAAATAGCTTAATTTTTCAGAACTTAAGTTTTCAACTTGGTCTTGGATGCTGCAACTTTTGTTTGGTAAAAAACTTGTTCTATAGAATGATTGCTGATAGGTATCTACATCATTATTATCTATTGTTTTCTGATTAACTTTCGTACTTATTAAATCTTTTGAAAAATTTACTTCTTGTGCTTTATCACAGTCATCTAAAGAATACAAGTTAACAAGTTTATTTTGTGTAGGAGAACATGGGGCCGAGCGTGAATGTTTATCTTTTATCAAAAGTTTCAGTTTATTACTTTGCATAATTAAATTTGAATTATTTATTAAAGGATGTTTCTCTGTCTGTTTATTATCAATCGAAGATAAATCGCTATTGTCAACTTCCATATTTTCCTCTTGATGTATTCCATACACCATACTTGAACTTATCTTATGGTAGTTTCGACTATCTGAAACTCCCGAATCCTGAAAATAGAATTTAGTTTAAATTTAAAACCTTAATTGAAATTTATTAGAATTACATTTAAATGATACTTCATAAAAAATATTTTGAGATTTTAAGAAAGCAAAAAAAAAGATTTGAAATGTAAAAAAAAAAAAAAGTTTTATCAAGATAAAAAATTCTCAAGCAAAAACTAAAATACCTTCAAATGAATTTACAAAAATGACATTTTAATACATACTATACAAATTTATATATTATACATTGAAAACATTACACCCTGTAAAAATATTACACGTTATAGCAATATCATACAATTAGACTCTATATCAACATTACTACTCAAACAATAATAATGTATAGGTTGAAATTTGGTTGATTTATGTTATGTTAGAATAATATTATTTAATTTTAGTATGATTTTTAATTTAATTTTAAATTAATTTTAAAAAAGAATATTATTTAATTTTAGACATGTAAAAAATTATACCACCATGCTACTTTCATTTTTTTTGCAATCAATATCAACATATGATTTCCAGTCAAAAGTAAAATAAATCTTTTCTTTTTCTCTTGTGGGTGCTAGTAAATTAATAACTAAATTTTATAAACTTCTACAGTTAGAGCTATTAGACAAAAAGATTTAATAAAATTTAAAAATGGTCAGAGTTAAAATTAGAATCAAGGTTAGTACATTATTCTAATTACAGATAATAAACAAAAAAGTTACTTCGTTTATTTTTGATGTTTGTTTTTTCCAGTAGTTTTAAAGTAAACTTTATAAAGATAAATATATTTATGCAAAAATAAAAATATAAAATATTATATATTAAAAAATAGTATTAACATAAAGTGAAAATATAAAGCATACCTTTCAAAAGATCGATGATGTTAATATGAACCTCTACAATATTCTTTCTTTCCTTAATTAAAAATAAACATTTAAAAGTTTTCAATCAACTTTTCTATAAAGACATGAATAAAACAAGCCTTACGTTTGGTTTGAAGTATAGCATATCATTAAACAGTTTACGTAATGTCGTTGGACAGTGACATCTAAATATAAAAACTAATACATATGAAAAATAAGCATCAAGTATTTAAATTTTTTTTTTAATAAAAGTGTAATAAGTTAGTAATAAAAAAATAAAAATAAAAAAATAATAAAAGTAATAAATTAAGATTATATTTACTCCAATTACTTAAGATTATAATAAATTTGTAAGTTGTAAAACTGAAGAAAACATGGAGATGGAACAGAATTACAAATAATTAATGAACAAAGGAAAAAAATATATAAACTAAAGTTTTTTGAGCATGAAGAACAGTTACAGTAAAAGAATGCAACTTTGCAAAACAACAAGTTATGTGGGATAAAGTTTTAATTATCATTTCCTACTCCTAATAAGTAATTCATTTCTTATCAGGAGTAAGAAATGATAAAGAAAGACAATCCTAGCAGAATCCTGCTTCATAATGGATCATGATAGATCAGTTGCAAATAATAATCTGAGAAGACTTTAAGTAGAGTGCTGCAAATTCAAACTCAGTACGAGTGCTGCAAATTCATCAATATAGGAATATGTTGATGAATGCAACTGAGTTATGATAGGGTTGAAAATGAATTTTAGTAAATGGCACAAGAGACACTAGCTCTTTGGAACAGTGCCCATTATAGTATTTAAAGAAAAGAGAAAGAGAAGCAACATTACGACAATGTGATAATAATTGAAAGTTGGCTGCAAGAGCAGGTCCAACTATGTTTACAATGCATTTTTGCACCTTGACTAAAAGAGAAAGGGTAAGAAGAGCACTCCATACAAGGCCAGATTTGAGATTTAGAATCCAGAGGATTTGATATATAGTTTCTAAGAAAGATTGGAAACAAGAATTAATCCTAGAAGATGAAGGGTAGATAACTGATCGAGTTACCGTTCATAAATATAGAAAGGTCTAAATTATTGTGATATCGATTGGCTAAAAAAACTAAAGTTTCATCTGAATTAAAGTTCAACAGCCACTGTGAGCCCCATGCTGTAGAAGAAGTGTAGCAGGAGCCTCTTTCAAGGAATCAGAGAGTGTTGGCTTCTTATCATGACAAGAATAAAAGATAGTAGCATTAGCAAACAATGCCACCTTAGATGTGAGAATATCTGGAAGATCTTTAATGTAAATTAAAAAGAGTATAGGGCCAAGGATTGAACCTTGAGGAACCCCTAAATTTACTTGATATGAAGAAGAGTGCTGTCCATCGAGGACAACTTTAATACTATGATTGGAAAGGAAGGATTCAATAATCTTAAAGATGTTACCAGATACACCATAAGAAGAAAGCTTATGGAGAAGACTAGCATGCCAAACTTTATCAAAAGCTCTAGAAATGTCAAAAGCAATGGCCTTAAATTCTCCACCTTATCAAATGCACCATAAAACCTATAGGTTATTACTGTTAGCAAATCAGCCGTAGAACAAGAAGATCAAAATCCATATTGATGATCAGAAAGTAAGATACTATATTCAAGATGAGAGATAAAGTGTTTATTAATTAAAGATTCAAGAAGACTAATGGAACGGTAGTTAGATGAATCAGATCGCTCTCCAGAATTTTGAAAAATAGGGATAACAGATGCTGCTTTCCAGCAGGCTGGAAAACAAGACTCTGATAAGCACTTGTTGAATAGTTTTGAAAGGATAAACGACAGCTTGGGAGAATACTTCTACAGCTATGTTGTCAGGGCCACAAGCTGTAGAAGAGTCTATATAGGAATTCACTTTAGATACAGATGCTGGAGTAATACGAATGTCAAGCAATCGATCAACCTTTTTGATGGCTATATCAGGTAGAACACAACTTTATTTATTTTTTTTAAATATGTTAAAAAACTTGACTTGAAGCATAGATAGTATTCAGTATACTGTTTAATACCTCAAGTAATTGCCTCATTACTATTAATAAACCCTAAGTGGTAACAAAGGGCTGCAATGTGGACTTGGCAATGCACACCAAAAGTACAAACAGGGACACCATCTATGCGCAACATGGCACTGTTATTTCTTTGATATTTTTTAGCTGTTGATGGAATCAGCCTCCTGAGAGCTACCACAGAGTTTGGGAAACCTGAATACCAGTCGGCCTCAGAACCATAAAACTGAGTTTTAGTGTTGTACCCTAATTAGGAGATAATAGAATGAGTTGCCTAGTCATAAAAACAGAGACACAACCCATGCATCAAATCAAAAAGATCCTTTACTTAACCAAGAGTCTCAAGGCAGAAGAGTACTTTAAGCTAAAGTTAACTTCTCCTAGCATTTTCCTGGAAATTCAAGTACTAAATGGCTACAAAACATGTGATAGGTTGTAATGAATTATATGCTACCAGTAGCTGGGTAACCATGGTGATTCTGATAACCATGATGACATGAACTTACTGTAACATATTACATGACACTATTTAAACAACATACTGTAGCATATCAAGTTAGTATTGAACAACTGTTTCCTATATTTAACACCAGACTTAAGACCATATGACATCCAATCTTATCAATGATAAGATTGGATGATAAGAAAAAACAAAAAACACATTTATTTTATATTAGGGTAACTGCTGTGAAAAAAAAAGTTGTTGTTCCACAACTCTGTTTATGCTGTAGCTGTATAGTGACAGAGTGTATGCTTTATAAGCAAGATGTACTGAGATCATAACAAAAAAACACTTATATCTAAAATATAACAAAAAATAAAACATTTATAGCTAAAGTATAACAAAAATTAAAACATTTAGGTCATTAAAAAACTATCAATTAAAAATATGTTAATGTGTAACATAAAACCGTTACACCATTACATGCTATGATGGGAAAAAAAATAGAAAAAATCTTACGGCGATTCTAAATTCATATATGCCAAAGGTGAACTATATGAAGAACTTTTATTCAAATGCTCATGAAAAAAATTCTTCATCTAAAGAAAAAAAAAATCAAACATAAAAATATTAAATTATTAGACTTGGCTATTTTTAAAGTTAAAAATACATACCTCAAAATATGTCATTGTTTTGAATGGTTTTTCCAATGTAAATAATTGTAAAATTGTTAAAGCAAATGCCCATATATCAGTTTCTTTTGTATATACTGGTTTGTCGGTTAAGAAAATCTCAGGAGCATAATGAGTGCAGCTGAATGTAAAAAAAAAAAAAAAAAATGACTATCAACTTTATTACCAACTAATTAATTTAACAATAATATGTAACAATAGTTAGACTAGTGACTATATAAAAAAATGACATCCCTCTCGCTAGTTATATTAAAATTACTGTAATCTTTTTTTGTTTATATATAATATAATAAAACAATGATTCACAATATAACAAAAAAAAACAACAAAACCATTTGCCAATAAAAAAACAATATTTGTACATAACTTCAAACTAACTTCAAATACTGAACTTCTTAATTGACATTGTTTACAACGTCTTTCATGGTTTATGACTGAAATCAAAAAGCCTAAATTTTGTTTACGGTATTAGAGAATACAAAAGCACATTTTTAGCATTATTTAGAGTTTTAATTAAAAACGGCATAATAAGTTTCACTCAAAAATGTTTTTTTCTCCATGTTAGATTTTCATACATGACTTAAGTGAAAAAAAAAAGCAAAAATACTCTAAGTAATACAGATGTCCTTGTGTTGCAAATAGTTTACAATCACTAAGAGTCTAGAATCATTGAGATATGAAAATATATATTACAATTTCTTATATGTTTTATTTTAATATTTGATTTAATTATTGAATAAATATTGTTTATATACTGTTAAATTGCCATGATGTACTGATTAAATTAACCAATGGATTTGGTGGATTAAATCTTTTATTTAAAATTTAAAATATTTTCCTTAAATTTTGCTTCTTTTATTATATGGCAATATTAAAAGCTTTATCTGATATTTTATGTCAAACATGGTAAAAAATCTTCCATCAAAGTATTTTGGATTTAAAGATAACCTTTAGATGATGTAATTTATGACAATGGGAAATAAACAGATATTCTTTCTTAAAAAAGCATATCAAGTTTAACTCTGAAATGGATAATGACAACATTTATACAATTCAAAATTGCATGATTGTTAAGCAGTAATGTGATTCTATATTAGAAAGTGGAACAGCTTGTTTTATTGACATAAGAATAACTTTTCTGAATGATGAGTCTATAAACATTCCATGTTTATGTTTGAAAACTCTTAGATGACATTTAAAACTATTAGGTGACGTTTAAAACCATTAAGGTGACATTTAAAACTATCGCATAACATTCAAAACCATTAGGTGACATTTAAAACTATTAGGAGACATTTAAAACTATCAGATCACATTCAAAACTATTAGGTGAAATTTAAAGCCATTAGGTGACATTTAAAACCATTAAGGTGACATTTAAAACTATCACATGACATTTAAAACTATTAGGTTACATTTAAAACTATTAGGTAATATTTAAAACCATTAGGTGACATTTAAAACCATAAGGTAACATTTAAAACTATTAGGTGACATTTAAGTCATTTAATCATAATAGTTAAAGTAGCAAAATAATCATAAATTATTATAAATTGAGAAACTTTTTACCATAAGTGTCCATAAGCTTGGTTTTCAATAATTGGAAAAATGTTGCACAACAACTGCACAACAATTTTATAATCGAAACATTTTCTAGCATAAGTTGTGCAATGTTGGTACTTCAACAGAATTTATGTTGAAAATTTTATTTCTGCAGAACTGCAGAAATAAAAAAAAAAAAATTTTTTTGCAATAGTTGTACAACAAAATTGCGCAACTGTTGCACAATTCTAGCACAATAATTCTACAACTATTAGAAACCAAGAATACCATGCAAAGTTTTCAAGTTTTTATTTGTTTTCATAATTCCCTTGCCTTTTTAGAGCTTGTCTAAAAAATGGGCATAATTAGAAAAACTAAACAATGTGACATTTAAAAAACAAGTAAGCCATTCATAGAAGTAAAGAATGAAATAAAAGTAGTGTAGTGGCAACTCAATTAAGAAAAGCAAATTTAGTAGAGGGTAACTTTGTAATAAATTAAATAAATGGTTTTCATAAGAAGAAAGATAATCTGAGAAGACTTGGAATGGTTTCCATCCGTGAAAGATAATCTAACACTTTAAGTAGATTTAGTAAGAATGTTTTCACTCATCAATATAAGAATTTCAATAATATTACAATAATAATTGTCAGTAAGCTCCTGAATTTGCTGGAATTAAAATTCATCAGTCAATGCAAGTCCCAAGTAAGCCCAAATTCAAGAATGGCTGCCTATTTTAAGCAATCAAACAGAGAAAAATTATATATAAAAAAAGAAAGCAGTCTTGTTGGACTGTAGTGGTTGCCTTTGGAGCAATGGAAAGAAGGTGGGTTTAATTAAAAAAAAATCTTATTAATTTGTAAAAGATCTTTACTTAAGAAGCTGTATAGCTTTACATGTGCAAATCATCTTCACACATTTAAAAAATTTATATTTATATAAATACTCGCTAATTAGGTTTGCCTGATACTTTGATTTGATAAATTTTATAGTGAATCATTTTTATGCTAACTTTTTTAAGATGAGGATGGTTAACTTCAGGATTTTCGTTGTATAAATATATTATCTAAATATTTGTTTTTTTTTTTAAATTTTAAAAAAATGAATTTTGAATAATAATTAAAGCTGTAAATGTTTTTAATCTTATAAAGCCCAGAGCCAAATTGTTTGTATTTGATTTCTAGGTATCATCTCTACATAAGATCTAAATAAGGTCTGGACCTTCTGAAAGCATTATAACAAAAAAACAAAAAACTTTTGCCTTACACATTACTTTAGGTATAGATAATATATAGGTATTTGCTTTTTGAAACCAAATTGGCATTTAATCTAATGATGGAAGTAAGATAGTACACTGTATATAGGTCCTCTAAAACCAGGCTTCACTTATTTTTGTTCAACACCCAAGCAAGACATTGGTTCAATTTTCTCTTTGTTTTACAACAATTATTTATTCGATTTAAAGATTTATGTTTTTTAAATAACTTTTATGTTAAGAACTAAGCTTTTATGTTAAGAACTGCAATTTTATTCCTATTGATTTTGAGTGTTTTGATGTCTATATTATAAAATTGCAAAAGAGAGTACAGATAACAATAGCAAATTATTGAAAATAGTTGGAGGTCAACTTTTGAATTTTAAAGTTAAAACTATGTAACATCTGTAATTATTAATACATTTACAATTAAAGCAGATGAAAAAACCAATTTTCATACAAAACTATAAACCTGAAATAAAATGAAAAAAATGACAGATACAAAAATGATATCAAAAAAATCATTTATGAAACCATTGTTATAGGTTACTTTTTGTAAAAGTTTAAATTTTTCTCTTTTTATTATTTATTTATTTTAATGAAATTTCAAAGCAAAGTTTTACTGCTAGTTACACTTTTGTAATCAAAACCTTTTATAACTAATGCTCTCTCTCTCTGAATCTGTTTGAGACTTTAGACTGGATGATACTATTATAATGCTTCCCTCTGAATCTGTTTCAGACTTTTGATTGGATGATACTAATATAATGCTTCTCTCTGAATCTGTTTCACACTTTTGATTTGATGATGTTTTTATAATGCTCTCTCTAAATCTGTTTCACACTTTTGATTGGATGATACTATTAAAAAAATATTTAAAAAATAACAAATATTTACTTGTTCCTAACATAATTCTTTTCAATATGCTCAGACAACTTCCACATAATACAAGAATTGGAAAGTTTTATAGTTTGTAAATCTGAAAGGTATATGTTTTTCAGTTGCAAATCGCCGTGCACTAAATCCTATAAAAAAGATATAATAAAAAAAGAAAAATTAATATTTAAGAGACAATTTATATTTATTTGTGATGCTTAAAAATACTAAAAAATATTAATTGAAATAATTGCCTTGGTGTGTACAGAATTGAAATTAAAAAAAAAAATTCAATTCTCTGCCCACCAAGAAATAATTTTGTAGGCAAAAATATTTAAACAAATAAAAAACATTTAAATGGAAATAACTGCTATTTAAACACAAAAATAAATTTTTACAAAAAAAAAAAAAAGAAAAAAAAAAAGAAAAAAAAAAAAAAAAAAAAAAAAGAATAATAATAGAAAAATTATAGTTAATACTATTACAATGGCGTGTACTGTCTATATTTAAAATAATAAAAAAATACAATCATTATCTAAAAACAAAAAATAATTTTAGATCACAGATAATGCCTGCTCTATCATCATTAAATTCTGCATCATTAGCCTGCTTTATTATTATTATAAATTTTGCATTATTAGCCTGCTCTATTATTATTATGAATTCTGCATCATTAGCCTGCTCTATCATCATTAATAATTCTGCATCAATTTAATAACTTGAAAAAATATTTAATCATATTATTATTTTATAAGTAATAAAAGATTTTATTGTTCTGTAAAAAAGTTGCACTCATATTTTGTAAAATATGATATAGAATAAAATAACTTTATCTAATCTTAATTCATCAATTTATCAACTTAGTGGAGGGTAACTTTTATTGTTTAAGGAATAACTATAAATTTAATATGAACAATTTAACAACATATTTTGAACAATTAAATATAAATAATTAAATGACTTATTTTGAAATATGGATAATTATACATGTACAAAATAGAAAATATAAACAGTTTAATAACATATTTTGAGCAAATAATTTGAAAATACCTTTGAATGAAGAAATTTTACTGCATCACCCAACTGACGAAGATACTTGAGCAGCAACCCATATGTAATCGTTTCTCTAAATTACAGTAACTTTAATAAAAAAGCACCTTTACCAAAATAATTTCCTAAGAAATCATGAGTTATAAATCATAAACTACATTCAAACATTGATAGACTACCTTGACTTTGGTAAATAGTTTTCTAAATTTCCTAATTCCAAGTACTCAAACGCTAACATTAAACCATTATCCAATAAGGAAAGTCCAACAAACTGGACAATGTGCTTACGGTCGTGTAGACACATTAAAGATTGAGCAACTAGATTAACAAGCTAAATAAGAAAAAAATTCTAATGCATATAATTAAATTTGTAAACATTTTCTGGTCTTAATTTTTCTTAAAAAGAAAACCAATGGTATATATATATATATATATATATATATATATATATATATATATATATATATATATATATATATATATATATATATATATATATATATATATACACACATATATATGTATATAATTTCAAATAAATTAACAATAGTATTGAGAGAACTCATATTAATTGATGTTTTTTATTTTTAACATATATACTCTCATACAAGATGTCAACATTCACATATATATATATATATATATATATATATATATATATATATATATATATATATATATATATATATATATATATATATATATATATATATATATATATATATATATATATATATATATATATATATATATATATATATATATATATATATATATATATATATATATATTTATATTTATATATATATATAAATATGCCAAAGGTTCTAGTCAAAATGTTTGTTATTTTGGATTTTGTGATTTTATGAATTTAGTTTATCGCTCAACAAATAGCGTCACTAAGTCAACACCATAAATTTGTATTGTTTTTTTGTAGGATCATATCTACAGAACAAAAAGTAATTTTCAGTAATGTTATTTATTCTGAGGGTTCTACAAACTAATATAAAGATATAGATAAAAAAAATTTTTTCTTTTAATGTCCATGCTGAGTTATTCTGAAACTAATATGACAAAAAAACTGAAATACCCTAAAATAACATGTATCTGAACCCCTAAAACTTAACTTGATCAAATTTTTTTGTTTTTTTAATTATTTTTATTTTTCTGTTATTTTGTTATTAAATCATTAAAGATTTTGAAAAACCTTTTTTTTTTGTAGCAACTGATGCAATTGTTCTCTGAATTAATTAATAATTGGTGATAAAACTAAACTGTCCTTATAATTTTAATTTATTATTGTTTCAAGTTTATTAAAAACAATAGATTTCATAAGTCAAGCAATCAAAAAAAGCTATCCAGTAAACATCCTATTTTTATATTTTACAAAAGCATTCAATACAAATTCACAAATAAAAATAGGAATAATACTAATTATGGCAAGTAAAATATAATAACGTGATAATGGTACCAAAAAAGATTAGAGTGTTTAAACATTATGCAAACTTTAAAAATAATAATTTTGAAACCTGATAAAAAGATTATTTTAAAATAATAATTATAAATATAATATAAATAACTGATCACATAAATGTAATATACTATACAAATATAATAAAAATAGATACAATAAATCATATCATAATTAGTCATAACTAAGTAATAGCTGCTCTTAAAAAATAACTGTTTGTACTTTTTGTTTGTGTTTGTGCTAAAAACAAAATAGAAAAAATATTTCTAGATATAATTTTTAAAAAATATAAATGAAATTATATTACTTCTGCAGGAATATCAGTAAATCTTTTCAAAACCAATGATTTATTTTCATCCTTTTTAACATACTTCATAACATCTCCAAAAGCTCCCTTAAAAATAAATATTTGTTTACTAAAAAATAAAAAAAACTTAAAGAAACTTGTTACACAAAACAACTCTAAACTATAATATAAATTTATTACTTTAAAAAAATCTATAAAAAAAATCTCAGCATATAGACAATCACTAAATATAGCTTCTCATTCTGACCTTTTTTATCCATTGTTCACATCTTAACTGATCTGAACCAAGCAAAAGAGGTGCAGCAGGTAATTTTGATAATGCTATGTTACGCTTATTTGCAATATTATGAAGAATATGTCCTGGCTCCATGTAAAATGGAATGTTTCCTTGTAAAAAAGAAGTTTAATAAATTATTTAAAAGATATAAAATGTTCTTGCAACAAATTTATATATATATATATATATATATATATATATATATATATATATATATATATATATATATATATATATATATATATATATATATATATATATAAAATAAGATTTTTAACTAACCAGATTGTCTTGGTACGTAATTTTTTTTAAGGACAACACCTAGTTCATCCTATAAAAAGAAAACTTCAAGTTATCTTCGACATAGTAAAATTTACTTTGACACCTTTTTATTGTGTCTTAGTGGCTCAACAAAAAAAAAAAAAAAAAACTCTTCTTTATATCAAAATATTATACTTGATTTCTTTACTCACTACAAAATGAACATTTTGAAAAATAAAGATATTTTTAAAATGATGTCAAACCTTCACTTTTGCATCTTTAAAACTGTTTTGCAGTACATTGAGTGATGGGTACTTTGTTCCATTCAAAAGATAGTAACCAAGTTCAGAATCTTCTTGACAATATTCAATTTCAATGTGTTTTATTGTTTCATTATAAGAAACATATGATAAAACAAAGAAAAAGTACTTTTGACAGTGTTCACGAAACAAATAATTTCCTTCTTCTATCCCCTTTGCTGTTATGATATTTTCAGCAACTTTTTGACTGTAATTAAAAGGCAGGAAGTACAGAAAAGATAGTAATTTACTTAAATTTTATTTTTTACCATTACTAGTGTAAAAACCAAGAAATCCCACAAGTTATTTTTTTTAATTTCTTAATTTATACAGTGTATAAATTAAGAAATTTGATATACTGTATAAGATAAGAGATTTGATTTTATATATTTACATTAACTTTTATATTTCAGTATAAGTATACTGATTCATTAAAGTTAAATATTAATTTTTTCTAGCTATGTTCAAACATTTTAAAAAACAAACGCAAAAATATGGTCACCATACAGACAAATATAACAATGTAATTAACAATGTATAAAAAGTAAACAACACAAATTAAAATAAAGAATGAAATAAAGAATATATAAAAAGATGTACTTTTTATCTTGTCTGCAAGGCATATTCCCTTTAAAAATAAATTACAGCATCGGACATAATAAATCAATTGTTTGATTTATTATGTCCGATGTGTTTACTTACAAATTAAATTTTTTGGTGACAAGATAAAGTTAATGCTGCACAAGTTTTAAAAAAATGCTAGAACATAAATTAAAAACATGTTGTAACAAACCAACAACCAAAATGTAAGTAGAAGTAATTGAGAAACCTGAAGAGCCTTTTTCTGAGATGGAGGAACACTTAAGAGGAACATTTTACATTTAATACATTAGTAAGAATATTTATACAATTTAAAGAGCATTCAGCTGCTTCATATTTTAGCCTTATGATAAATAAAATAACGATTGTTTCCAACTTTGAGGAACTTTTCTTTGCTTCATATTTTAGCCTTATGATAAATAAAATAACAATTGTTTTCAACTTTGAGGAACTTTTCTTTGCTTCATATTTTAGCCTTATGATAAATAAAATAACAATTGTTTATAACTATGAGGAATTTTCTATCTTTGTTAGTTACAACTCAGACTGTTAAAATGATAATTTTTACGTTTGGTTGCTTCAAAGAGATACGTAGTACACAATTTTTATTTTACAAATCAAGGGTCAAATTTTTTTGAATAATTTCTTGAGTAATTTCAAAAAAAAAACCTCTAAAAATAAATGCACTAGAATTTAACATAGCAGTAAATGAATAAGCCTATAAAATAACACTAAAACCTTTAACAATGATGCAATATCTGCTAATCTAAATTATGGAGACAACAAACCTTATTCTAATAAAGTCTTAAAAATTAAAGCAAGCGGAAGCACATATATTTCTGTATACAATTTTAAAGTTTTGATAGACCAAGATCAGCTACCACGGATTTATAACTTTTTAGATTCCCAATTTTAACAATGCACTTTCAATATTGATACTAGAAACATAACAATAAATTTCACAGTTGAAATGAAGAAAAACTCAAGGGAACAGTCTTTTGCCTAATACGTAAAAACATTAGAAATTGTATTAAAAACTGCTAATGAATCATTAGATATGCGAAAAATATTTCTTTTTAATAGATTTTATCCAATTTGTAAAAGTTTTTTGAAGTAGTTAAAAGTTCTTTAAATTAGAAAAATAAGTTTTTCTTGTTTATGAATTTAAATCAATCTTAGATAAACTAAGGGGGTAATAGCGCAAAAATATTAATAATAATCATGTAGCTTGTTTTTTTTTGTTTTTTTTTTTGAGACATAGACAACCTACCTGATAGGGCCATGTACCATGTTATCTTTAAGAATGCTGTTAGTATCTAAAAAAATTAACTTTATATATAACATTAAATGACAAGAAAAGCATGAAAGCTGTGATAAAAAATATTTAGCTTAAAAAGTAACAGAGAAAAACCATATATTAAAACTTTAAAAATGATTTTAAAAATGAATAATAAAATTATAAAATTTAATAAGCTTATAGAATTATTTGATTATTAACTTAAAGTAAAACTACAACTTAAACTACATAAAAACATACCATAAAGTATTGTGTCATATTGATTAACCAACAATCTATAATAACCTTCCATAAAACTAAAAAAAGATTCACATTCCTCTTCCGATTCACAAAATAAAATCTAAATGAATTGAGTATACCAATAACAATAAATCTATAAAGTGAAAAAGAAAGAAAAGGTGGCAAAAAAAAAAAAAAAAAATGTAAAAAAAGATTAAATTGTGAAAAAGAATTTATCTTGAACATAAAAATCAACAAATCACACAAATTAATATGATCTCAATATTCTTCAATCACTTTATTAGTAACTTTTAAAATTAGTAGATTACATATTTTTCTTAAGATAATTAGTAGATTACAATTTTCTTCAGATAAAATTTGTTATGAGTTTAAAAAAAAAAGTTTAAAAAACCAGTGTATAGCAAAATGATACAACTCTTTTATAGTTAAACATTCAGGTAAGTATTATATTGCCTTAAATATTTTTATTTGTTTATATAAATAAGCATAATAAAAATATTAAACTAAAAGTAAGAATTCTGAATATAAAAAATTAGGAGCTATATAATAAGTTAATCTTAATATTCACCTCAGCTCTTTCATTTCTTCTGAGTATTCTTATTTCTCTTCCTTTTCCTTCAAAATATTCTTGAACTTTAACACCACAAATGTTACTGTAAGAACATTGCCATAAACATGACTAAAATATTATTTTTTGTATTTTTTATTTAAAGGAAATTCATACTTAATTACATATACATAGTTTTTTTTTAAAAAAAAATGGAGTTAAAAGTAATGAGACAAATTTCTTCTATTAAAAAAAACTTTTTTTCAAGTTTTATTCATTTCAAGGAAAATCATTTCAAAAAAAAAAAAAAAAAAAAAAAAAAAAACCAGCTGTAAGTAATCAGACAAATTTCCTTTATTAAAAAAAATCATTTTTAAAGTTTTACTTGATCAACAAAACTTTTAAAGCATTTAAGCAAACAAAAAAACAGTTGTAAGTAGTCAGACAATTTTCTTCTATTAAAAAAAGAAAGTGAGTGCTTGTTCAATACTTTATTCAATCTTTTAAAAGCAATGCATCTGCACACTAAATTTTAAAAGCAATGCTTCTGCACACATTTTTAGTTTAAACTGATGTAATAATCAATTTTATGACTTATGATTTATGCTCCACTATGTCTACAAATTCTATATTATTTATGGGTAATATATTTCATTTTAACTTTGTTTTAAATATAGTTATAACACAATAGGAAATTTTAATAAAATTTTTATAACAATCTGTTTTATGATTTCGGAACAATGTTAATAAAAAAATTTTTTTTTTATGCACAAAGAATTTTATTTACATTCAGTTAATTTGTAAATTTATGTAATGTGTTTTTTTCAAAGACTCAAGCTTCATTTTCAGATTGAAGTGAATTTTATAAGTTATTGTTTGAATAATAAATTTTTTTTTAAGAATTCAGTTTCTACGTTGATTTTAGTAGCAATTAGATAAAATCTTGGCCAGTAGATAATATTAAACAATTTTTGACTCAATTTAATAGTTTTTTAAATGGTCATTAAATCAAAGAATATTGAAAGATTTCCAAACAATGTCATTGGTTGGACAAAAATTGGATGAAAACCGAAACTTTTTAAACAATGTCATAAGTTGGGTTTTAAAAATCTATTTAATCTATTTGTTACAAAATGTAACACTCCCATTAAAATATATTTTAAAATGATTGGAACCAAAATAACAATTCACTTTTCTACTAAATATGTTTAGAGTTAGCAACCATATAAACAACTTTTGTTTCATACTTGACAAAATTTTTATGTGTAAATAAAAAAGCTTCAGGTTTTTGTGCTTTTCAAGTTACAAATGTGATGTGTATAGAACTTATTTGTAATTTATGATTTAATCATCACATGGCAATCAAAATTTATGATATCAGGTACCATGAGATCCAGCAATCACTTGTAACACAAGTGATAGTTGGAAATTTATAAAACCAATTTATCAATTATAACTACACCTTTTCAAGATGTAAATGAGAACATGAAAGTTGTAATTAAGAAGTCGTAATATGTAATTAAGAAACACAACATGTAATTGAGAAAACGTAATATGTAATTGAGAAACACAACATGTAAATAAGAAGTCGTAACATGTAATTAAGAAACACAACATGTAATTGAGAAAACGTAAGATATAATTGAGAAATCATAATATGTAATTGAGAAATCGTAACTTGTAATTGAGAACACATAAATTAAAATAGCAAATTCACAGTATAAGTTTGTAGGTTGTTACAAAAGGTCTTTTTGGACATGAATTTAAGTTATAATCTTAAATTTTGCTTTTGTATGCACAAGTAATAATAATGGAATTGAAAGATCGTTGTGTTATATGCCAATACACTATGACCCGAAAGTCTGTGATTAAGCTAAATCCGTGTCAACATTTATGTCACCAAATTTGTTTACGTCCAGTTCTGGAACAACCAGATTCAAGTTGTCCGATTTGTCGGCATGAAATACACACAACTGAACAAGTTGAAAGGAAACGTTACGTTTTATCTTCTCTAAATGACAGGAGAAGAGTTGTTGAATGTGCAGAGCGATTTGAAGATTTGGTGAATCTCGCGCAAACGCTAGGTATCAAATATAAGACAGCATACAATTGGGTTCGGAGCGGAAATTCAAATTTCATTGGAAAAGGAGGTTTTACACCGAAAAAGTTGACCGAAGATTAAATCGAAGAAACATTAACATGGATTGAAAATGATTGTCAATTAACATTGGTGGCCATCAAAACAAAGATATTAAGACAATTTAACATAAACGTTACCACAACAACAATAGCAAATTACCTCGAAGGCAGATTGTTCTCATTAAAAAAAGTGCACAAGGAGCCTTCTACAATGAACAGTTATGAAAACAAACAAAGAAGAGCTGAATATGTTAGAAACATAAACGAACATATCACAAATGGTCGTCAGATAGTTTGGTTGGATGAAACAAATTTTAACCTTTTTTGTAGAAAAACGCAAGGACGCGCGAGACAAGGAAAAAGAGCAATTATGAAAGTACCTGCTTCAAAAGGTTTAAACATACACTTGATCACAGCTATTTCAACTACAAATGTCGTCATGATAGAAACTTGCAGGGGATCATTTAAAGCAGATTCCTGTAACGAGTGGATGTTGGATATGTTTCACCAGTGGATTACATCCGGGAATCGTTTGGAGGATTTGGTCGTCGTAACAGATAATGCTCCTTGTCACGCTCGTTTGCAAAGGGTGTTTGATAATTCACCAGCTCAGTTGTTACGTTTGGGACCTTACAGTCCAATGTTGAACCCGGTGGAAACGATCTGGTCCAAAATTAAAAGTAACGTTAAAAATGCAATTCGCATTCCACCTGTATTAGGTGACGGGATTGCGGAACAGCGCATGCAGTACTTAGAACGAATTGTAATTGAGGCGAAAAATACTATAATGGGAGGAGATTGTGCACGTGCGGTACAACACACAACCACGCACTATGCAACTATTTCAAATATGGAAGACGTACAAGTTGGTGCTTAAATGATCAATGAAGTGATTTTTAATTATATAATTTTTAATTATAATTTTTAATTGAATTATAAATTTTTCCCTAAAATGTTTTTAGTGTTTATTATGTTAAATTCATTTGCCCAAAAATTATAAATTTTTCCCTAAAAAATTAAATTTACGCTACAAATCTTGCGTCATTTTTAAGTGCGTCATTTTATACGCTCCATTTGTTTACGCGCCATTTTTTTTAAGCGCCATTTTACACTTACTCCTTTAAAGCGATATCTAAATTAAAATTTTCGTGTTCTCAATTACATCTTTTTATTTCTTAATTACAACTTACATTTTCTCAATTACATGTTATGATTCTTAATTACAATTTTCGTTTTCTAAATTACATCTTATGTTTCTTAATTACAACTTACGTTTTCTCAATTACATCTTACGTTTCTTAATTACAATTTTTGTTTTCTCAATTACATCTTACGATTCTTAATTACAATTTTTGTTTTCTCAATTACATCTTGAAAAGGTGTAGTAAGTAAATTTTTAAAGCAATAATTTTAGATTAAAATGGATTAATAATTCAAATGATGAACATTTTTTAATCGTCTTGTTACATATACAATTACTCCTACAAATAAAAATTTGTTTTGTAAAATTACCAACTTGGCTAATGATTTTTTTACAAGTTTGCTTCGTTTGAATCATGAAAAAAAATACTAGGTTATAAACTCTTGACCAATGATGTAATCTTGAAAAACTTTGCGTCTTATCACATTCAGTTAACTGTAGAATGATTACTGTATTTTGAAGAAATATCAATTAATACAGAACGATGGTTAATAATTAAATAAGAAAAAGTTCAAACCTATTCTTGTTAAATTTTTCAACACTTCCGCAAAGAAGACAAAATATTAACATGCAAGGAGTTAAGGAACTTGTGATCACATGAATTTAGGACCTTGTGAACACAAGATCATTTAATACCATCTTACACCATACTGACAATTTTTAATCTGTTAAACGTTGAAAACAAGATTTGCTAGATTTTTGTTATAAAAAGTTATTTTAAATAAATTTTACATAAAAATAAAGTTCTCTTTCTGTCAAAGATTTGATTTTTCACCCTGCTCATTAAATTAGGCTGAAACTTTCACAACTGAAGTAAACTGGGATTATTGGGATTGAAAATCGCTGAAACTGAAAATTAAAAAAGTAAAACTTCATTTAATTTTTATGAACTGAAAGCAATCCATCATGCCAAAAGGATTTATCTTTTTAAAAACCAAAAAAACTAAAATTCAGTCCATTATACACTTTTTGCCATTGGCCTATACTTGTCTTTGGAAAAAAGTTTAACTTGAGTCAAGAGCTCTTTTCAATAACATAAATCTCTTTATTTAACAATACTTCTAAATAACAAAATAAACATATCTTCTGTCAAAGCATTTGGTCAGTATTTGTCAAAGCATTTGGTTAGCAATTTTCAAAGCATTTGGTCAGCATTTGTCAAAGCATTTGGTCAGCATTTGTCAAAGCATTTGGTCAGCATTTGTAATATTTTTTGAAAACTCAGGCTTTCTACAGTCTTGTTGATAATGCCATCAATGCTGCTATTATTAAAAACAATTGTGCAAATGCAAATGCGCTCAAAAGTTTGGACTTCAAAGTTGAACTGTTATAAAAGTTGTTCTATGGATATCTATAATGTTCTACAAATATATTCAATCTTCTTCAAAGAATCAAATAGGAAGAAGCAAAGTCCTTTCTTTTAAGCACCTACATTATTGTGCAAATTAGTTCGGACAGTGGTTGAAATAACACAATTATTTGCCACATTGAAGTTTTATTCAAAAAAAAAATGCCAATGGTACAAAATATGATATAATTAATAGGAAATATGACCTCCTTTTGCTTTAACAAGTACTTGAACATGATTTGGCATGGATTCAACCAGAGTTGAACACATTTTAGTCACTTGCTCATCATGATACCAGGTCCTAATTACAGCACTAATTAGCTTTGCCATTGTCGAACAGTCTTCTTTCAGGAGTCTTTGTTTGCTCAAGCCCATATTGATGTCTGGAGAATTTCTAGGCCAGTTTAAATACCATACTTCACGTAAAATGCGCACATTCTCTCCAGTCCACTTTCTTCAAAGAATGTGCGCATTTTACGTGAAGTATGGTATGGTGCGTGATCCTGCTGAAAAATGCCATCTCCATCAGGAAAGTCTCTTGTCATACTAGGAAGTAAATGAGTCTCCAAAATAGCCTTGTATTTATCACTATTCATCATTCCCTCTATGTTAATGAGTCGTCCAAGGCCTTTAGCACTAAAACTACCCCAAAACATCTTCTTAGGCGGATGTTTGGGTGCTTGTTGAATATGTCCTGACTGAAGCGGTTCACCTTTGCTTCGTCTCACAAACTTTGACCTGTAGCCATGGACTTCAAAATGTGATTCGTCGGAGAATACTACTTTTTTCCAGTCGTCTGCTGTCCATTGAGAATACCTACGTGCCCATTTAAGACATTTTCTCTTCATAACCGATGCCAATAACTGTTTCTTTAGAGGTTTTCTGGCAAATCTGCCAACTTCAAGGAGCCTTCGTTGGACAGTTTAAGAAGAAATATTTACGCCTGATGTGGATAAATCTCTCTGAAGGTCTGCACTTGTTTTCTTAGGATCCTTTATATTTTCTCTGATGATAACTGTATCATCGCAAGGTGTTGTCTTGTATTTTCTTCCTTGTCGCAGTGTTGAAGATTCACCAGTGTCTTTTCTTCTTTCCAAGATGTCACCAACAGCTGACTTAGCCACCTTCATTTTCTTAGAAATCTGTCTAATGCTCAAACCAGCATGTTCTTAAGAGCTGTAATGCTTGCATGTTTCTTGGGAGTGATATCCATTGTGAATACAAGGTGAATAATCTGTCACAACCTCCGTCACAACCTTTCTGCACAAAGCCTGGATTAGCACTGAAGCCACTGATGCGTTTGCTAGAATGTCTTCCTGGCAGCAAAGAGTTTCTAGACACCACTCGACTACAGTAAAACACTTATTTATCTGAAAAAACAAGAGAATCTTTAGTATCATAGCTAAAGGTTGGGCATATTGTAAAAATTATTCAAATTTTGCCACTGTCCGAACTAATTTGCACAATACTGTATTTCATTGGGCATCCAATGCAATGTTCCAGGCAACACAAGTTAATGAAAAAAAATGAAACTCAGAAGAAATACTTGTCCAGTTATTGGAAAAAGTATCTTCTTTTCTAGGTATATATATATTAAAAACTACTGTTTGATTTTTAATAGCACATATATTTAATATCTAAAACTTTTTTAGCTGTTTCTAGTTGTTTGTACTCAAAAAACACTTAAATTATACACAATTTATAAAGGAAAATTAATATATGGCATTTCATCAACTTTCAAGAAAATATTTATTTTAGCTAAAATGTCAGTTAAAGTTGCTGCCTCTAAATATTGTTCAAGATATGAATATAATTCATATTCAAGATAAGAATTATTTTCATATCTTGCAAATAATTGATTACCCTAATATATTAACTTTAACATTCACAAGTTCCGCACCCATGCGATTTGGAGAAGTTTCTGAAAAGCCATTCTTTTATTTGAATATGATCTTATAAATGAGTTTAGGCAAAGTTTTACAATTAGATGTCTTTGCTGGCTTTAAAGCTGGCATTTTTTTGCAGATCAGCACAGAATATTTTTATTGAAATTTAGAAAGATAACTATCCAATGTTTATGTATTCCTTCTGCTCTTACCCAACTTTGAACAACTTACATCAGAATTTCTCTTCAGCTAGACAAGATGTCTTTACCTCAACTAAGAAACCTTACCTGACCCAAAAAAACTTTCTTCTATAGTAATTAAAACTTAGGAAAAATATTTTACCCGAACATTGGAGATAGTAAACTTGCAACAAATATCAGTAGGTGTTAAGAAGATTTCTCTTTTATCAATTTTTCCATCTTCATACTAAAAAAAAAGTTATTGATTATATCACATACATTTAAAAACAACAATGATAGAGCATAAAATATTTTACTTGATTAGTTACATGATTTAGTGATGTTCAATGTGATCCACAATGTTATTATTATTATTATTACTTTCTTTTTTCTTAATTATTTTCATTAACAGTTACAAAATAAAATCAGATTCAAAGTAGACCATCAGAGCTTGTCATTAAAACCCCTTGTAAATTATAATTCTGATAAAATTTCAATACATATAGGGTCAAGTCATAGAATATAAATCAAATTTATTAGCATATTTGTATAAATATTTAACAATATACATGCATAAATTAACAAAGCTAATCATGTTAAAAAATATTTAACATATCAAGGTGCAAAAAGATTTATATTTTATAGATAGTTTACAAATTAAAGTTTTGCAATTAAAGTATAAGGAATATACAATTTACATAATTTGAAACTTTATTAAAACATTTTTTTCTTCTTTTATGGATTGCATTCATTTTTGTGATGTTCATTCTGTGAATATGACATTCATTTTTGTGATGTTCAAATAAACAAAAACAACTGATGGATTTATTTTATTATACTAATATACTATTTAAAAATATTTTATAAAAACATACCTTTATCATAGAAAAAACTTCATCTCTATAATGATCTAACTGTTCAATTTCATAAATAAAATCATTTCCTGGATCAGAAACACTTTTAAA